ATAACTTACCTACTTGGCGGATTTTCACCTATGGTGGGGTGTCTGGAATGTGGCCCCTGAGATAAGTGAGGGACACTGTAACAGCAAGTGTTGCTTCCAACAGCAGAGAAAAACAGTAAAATCTACAGAACTGACCAGTTTGTCTGGCACCAGACGGTGACACCAGTAGTTTTAGTCAGCAGACAGAAAAAGCACAGAAGCAGAAGTAAATTGACAACGTAAAGTGAACATGGCAGCTGTTGTGTGGATCTGCCTCCAGGGCAGAAATGGAAAGCAGATCGGGGAGTCTTCAATGCTTGTAACGTTTCCCGTGACAGACTAACAAAACTTATCGTAGATTCAGAAGGTTAGGGTGAGATTTACAGAGAAATCATGACTCCTTTCATGAAAACGTAACGTTTATCTTACAAAATCTATTTAAAAAGTGGCCATTTTTCTTGGGAAAAAACAAACGTTGGTGCACGGAGCAGAGACTCTGAGGCTTAGAGATGAAGGAGTGTGTGTGTGTGTGTGTGGGGGGGGGGGGGTGTCGTCAATTTGCTCATGTTCTAATTTCATTCAGAGCCACAGAACGCTGAACCTGTGTGCAGTTTATGCAGAGGCTCATAAAGATGGATGCTGACCGTAGCCTGTTTGATTTATGACGCTTCTTTAGGGTTTTTTTCCAGCTGCATCTTGTCAAATCGTGGAAATAAATATTAATGATGATTTTAAGCATTGTTTGTCTTCTTTTAGAGACCATTACCCTCATTTCTGAGATGTTCATTCATCATCAGAGCTTTAAGTTTGTTCAGTTTCTCTCTCGGCACTCGATCGATACTTTGCTTTTCACCTGCGAGTCGGCGGCTGGTCACTCACCTACGACGCTAAACCACAGCAGTGGTCGCTGAGTCTCTGTCAAGATGATGCCCACCAGGTGAGTGACAGGATCCGTTTCCATGACAGCAAAGGTGAAGTGAGGCTCGTCAAACGTGATCGGATCGGTGGAGGGCGGTGGGTGTTGGACCCACTCGATGTCGAGCCGAGACGTGGATGAGTGTGACGGGCTGCCCTGGTCTGTGGCTGTGATCTGGAAAAAGAACCCCAACAAGTTTATAATAAGAGTTTTAATACTCTTACTTCTTACACACTAATATTGTAATGAAACAAAACATTTAAAATAATCTCATGCCTGGACTCAAAGTTTCTAATTATTGGTACTTTTTTATCACGATGATGAAAAAAAATAAACTTTTTTTTTTACTAGCACGCAGACGTTCAGCAGTTTAACAACCCGTTAAAATTCACCAAAATTCAGGAAATTGCATCTACTTTATTCAAAGTTTTCTGGGGGAGGACCCCTGTTCTCAAAACTGTAATTTTTCAAAGTTGGAATTAAAAATGATGTCAATTAAATGTGTTTTGAATGAACCCCATGTTTAAAAGTACAAAAAATTGTATTAACACTATTAAAGGACAAGTCTTAAGTATTCATGTCACATAAATATGTCCATTGCATTAAAGAGACACATTGAAACAAATTATGTAATAAACATGAGGGTTATGAGGGGGGCCCTGAAACTTTTTCTCCCCTGTAAGGGGTCCCTGAACCCCAAAAAGTGTGATAACTCCGGACATAGGTGACAGTATTAATTGTGGTTTATAATGAAAATTTTCAGTGTTGGATGTTTTTGTTGGTTTTTGTTTGCTCTGTCAAAGAAGCGGACATAAGGAAAGAATCAACCAACCTCTGCTTCAATCAGCAGCTGCACAAATAAAACCTGTCTGCTGACCTAACTGTTGAAGAAGACATCCTGGTTGCCAACGGACTTTCTGCTTCTGCATGATGTCATCGTGCACACCAGCATGGCAACTCATCTGTCTGTGAGACTGAATCGAAACCCTCATGTTTGCACATGTTTAAACACAAATTAACCTGCTATATCACAAAATAAATGTATTTTTGAGATGGTGCAATAAAAACTGTTCATAAATTAGTCTAATTATTTAGCAATTATGAAACAAATACACTTATTTTACTTGTGATTTTAAGGTTAAAACATCCATCGGATACTTATAATCAAACATTACCAGAACAAACATTCATATTGTTGTACATTTTTATGAAACAACTAAATTTAAAAGGATTTAATTGTTGCAACAAACGTTTCCCATAAAAATTATAAATGTAAAAAAAAATGAAAAAAAATTAAAAACTTGAATCAGAACCAAAAAGTCCCTGAAAAAGATTCTAATGAGTTCACTTTGACATAAAAAAACTGAATCATACTTTACAACAATTGTGGTAAAAAAAAAAAAAAAAGTGTTTTCCATTTGGGAATGTTTAAAATATTTACACAGTTTTTGCACAAACTTTGTTCAGCATCAAAATTGAAAAACAATTGTTTGTTCTTTCCACTTGTTGCTGCTGTTGATTTTCTGCCATCACTGAAGATCCAACACTGATTAAAAAAAAATCTGAATATTTCAGCAGAATGTTACATACACACACACACACACACACACAT